GGAAACATTTTAAAAGAACTTTTAGTGATTGTGAAAGATGTACTTGACTTTCATATGACGGTTTACTGACTCAATTTGTTTTCCATTCTTTTTATTTATTCTTTGTGTCTTCCACATTGTGCCTCCTGATCCCACCCATCTCCCTCCCTCCAAAATGAAACAAAATAAAATTTAAGAGACAAAAATAAAAGGAAAAAGGGGAAAAATCTTGCCATGGAACCTGCAGTGTGACACAGTGAGTCACACAGTAAACGCCTTTATCCATACATTTTTACATGCAGGTGTTTTACTACATGTGCTTCAAGGATAAGCCAGGAAGAAATTTATCGTCCAATATGGATGATAACAGATGGGATCATGTTTAGAATTTCTGCTGTCAGATAAGGCCTGGATGCTAATCATTTCATAGTGTTCCTCTGTGCTCTTCCAGAACATTATGAGAGGAAACAGGGCTCAAACTCACTTGACTAGTATGCTGCATGAAACAGGGTGAGGCCAGAAAGGTCAGCTCAAGTGCCTGATGACGTAAAAGCCACTTTTTATCAGTCTCAACACTGCTCTACTTACAGAGCAGCCCACCAATGGTGTGTGTGTGGGGGGTGGCCAACCCAGTTTTCCACTGGAACCAGTAACCTAAGTAACTCAAAAGGAACTGGGGAGGTGGCTCGGGGCTGGGAGATAACTCGGCAGTGGGCAGTGAAGAACTCTGGCTGCTCTTCCACAGGTCAGCATTGGCCTGTCAATCTAGTTCTGGAGCATCTGATGCCCTCTTCTAGCCTCTGTAGGCACCTACAAACTCATATAGACACTACACATACATAAATAAAAATAAATTGTCAAAAGAAGCTCTTCAGACATAGCAGCCTGTCTGGCTTCATTTTCCTTAAATACATTTTTCTTTGTTTGTGTGTGTGGGTGTTTCTCCTGGATGTATCTCTGTGCACCATGTGCATGCCTGGTGCCTGTGGAAGACAGAAGAAAGCAATGGGTCCCGTAGGGTTGCAGTTAAAGATGGTTATGTGTCCCCATCAGTTCTAGAAATCAAATCTGGGTGTTCTGGAAGAACAGACAATGCTCCTAACTGCTGAACCTCCTTTAGAACCAACAAACACATTTATTTGTTTACTTTGTGTGGTAGTCAGGGTGCATGCTTGTGACAGTGTGGAAGTCAAAGGACAACTCACAAGAATTAGCTCTCTCCTTCCACCTTGCAAGCCCTGGAGTTGAACTCACATCATCAATACATGTTAATACCAAGAATAATTTTGATCACATTCCCTGATGAATTTTTCTGTGGTCTACTAAAACTAACACTCACACAGGAAAGGGACAGGACAAACTTGATCTTGACTTTTATCAAATGTTTATATTCAGGAGCACAATCCTGAGTGTCTAAATGCTTCTTGTGTAAACACCAGGGTGAAAACTGAAAACACCATCTCAGCAGTATTCCTACCATCCAGCAGAGCCACTGGCACTCAGATCCACTCTCGAAACAAACTGCAGACTCACTGAGAGTGGAAAGCCTGATTCTTTAGATGGTACTGCAAGTTGCCTGCTGAAATGGTAGCTGGCCTTCCAGAAGGATGGGCTGCAAGGGAACACTGACCACCACACAGGGAAAGAACTGAGTTCTTAAATCAGCTCCACTGGCCATGTCTTAACCCTAGTAGATGCCTGGATAGCCCCTTGCTACCTCTTAGCAAGGAGTAAATCTGCTGGTGGCTAACTGTCACCATACTAGCCTGAGAAGGAAGCCGAGAGAGTGATTGGCAGCTCCAAGAAAGAGAAGTGGAGTTGTTCTTGGTCATTATACGCCACTCTATGGGGGAAGCAAAGGTGAGCTGTAATGGGGAACACAGCAAGCACCTTTGTGCCCTCCTGCCACTGCATTAGCTTTCCTGGTGTGTAGGGGATGAGCAAAGCGACAAAATGATGAAGAGATAGACTTCACCTACGTCTTTTTTAAGAAGCTGCTCTTGGGCCAGTGGATGACTCAGCAAGTAAAAGTGCTTGCCACCAAAGCCTAGGGGCAAGTGTTTGATTACTGCAACCCACAGTGGAAGGAGAGAATCAACTCCTGGAGTTGCACTCTAACTTTTCAACATTTGCTTCTAGTGCACCCAGATAATACGTTCTCTCTCCCCCCTCTCCTCTCTCTCTCCTCTCTCTCTCTCTCTCCTCTCTCTCTCTCTCTCTCTCTCTCTCTCACACACACACACACACACAAGATAATTTTTAAAAGAAGACCAGTGTCTCCTCATGTTGCACTGATTAAGAATGAAAAAGTGAAAGTGATGACTGCTCAATGTCCAGATGGTCATTGATGAGTATTATCGCCCAGCCTCAGCTTCCCCACTTCCTGAGACCTTGGTTCTGATTAAGTAACAGTCCCAGTGAGGGGTAGCTTTCTTTTCCTGTGGTACTGGAACTCAAGCCCAGGACTTTGTCCTGTTATCAGTATTTCCTTACAATGATTTTCTGTCCTAACTATATCCTAAGCACCGTCTCCTTTAAGGTCAAAGACTGTAAGTCACTTGGACAAGCCTGTACAGGCAGCAGAATCAAAGATGCCCGGACAATGCTGTTCAGTAATGCGATGTAGATTGCTTTCATCCAGATAAGTCACTGCCTTCTAGGGACGGCACATATCAAAGACAGGGACTCTATGCAGCCAGAACACCGGCACTCACAATGTCCTCCAGCCTAGAAACAGTGAGTACAGGGAAGCTGGCTGTAGAATCCTCTGCTGGGCCAGGAGGCATGCCATTTACAGACCTTTCTCACTTGTGTCAGATCAGCACTGAGCTTCCATGGGCACAGAGGAGATTATGATGAAGCACAGAAGGGCAAGCCATAGCTGGCCCCGGGAAGAAGAATTCTGTTAGATTCAGAACATGCCTAGCTCCCATATGGCACACCTGGAGGTGAATACCACATGAAAGTATGGCCAGTCAGTTTATGATGATGACGTCATCCAGCCCTGGGCAAAACACAGCATTTGTGACCCTGAAGGTGCCGTGTGGCTTCTGCCATCTACTCTTTCAGCATATGTCCCTTACTATAGATCACATAGTGGCCCTTCAGATTCCAGCTAGACCAGAGCTTAAAGAGTTTCTCAATAAAATGTTCAGGCTTCTAGATGCTTCCACAAAGCTAATCAGTCCCTCTGTTGAGCTTCTCACTGCAAGTACACACCTCCCTGTCCATTTCACATGCTGCAGTAGTGACATGCTACACATCTGGCTTCCAGAACAGCGGTGAGACCTCACACCTGAGCTCACTTTTAAAGGTTGTCTCTCGCTCTCATTTCACCTTCTATATCTCTGAAAAATAGCAGGGAAGGATTTCTAAATTCACAACACAGAACATTTGTTTTCCTCCCTGATGGAACTCTTCTGTTGTCCCTCATGAAAGAATGTCTTTGTTATTGTTGTTTGGTTGTTTTGGTTTTTAGAGACAGGATCTCACACTGTATTCTGAGCTGGCTTCAAACTCACAACAGTCTAACCGCTCAAGGACCAGGACTACAGGTATGAGCCAGCATGCCCCAATTCACAGATGCTCTTTTTTCTTGAGTCTCTTAGGCAAACTGTCCTTTTCTATCACGAAGGAAAGGAAAACATAGCATATTAGTGTATATATAATATGCACTTTGTATTTTTATAGCAACATGCATTTTTAGTAAGGACACAGATCTTTTTATGGAGTCTTAATACCCTTATATATCAACAGACAATGCTATTAAGCAAGACAAGGAGAGAACAGGCCCTTGAAGTGGGAAATCCTTATCATGTGAGACTCCGTCACTACTCATGTTTACTGCTTTTTTTGATTCTCAAGTGACACAATGCTGAGACATGTGCTTCACTGCAAAACCCTCCCAGGGTTCTAATTATTACAGACAATAGCTTACTTTGTGACAAACAATAAGTTGCCATTATATACCCAATTTTGTATACATAGTTATAAACAGTTTCTCTTACCAATCATACACTATATCTGATCTGAGAGAGTACCTTTAAATTGTGTGTATTTTTGAATTATATAATTATGTGACTATAAATGACACATGTCCTTTAGTTTAGGATGTATTTTTTTTTTTACGTTGTGATGAGGCACTATGGTAAATGAGCATGAGTTTTATACAATCTACTTAGATGGGTACCTATGACCGTGAGTCAAGACAGGCCATTATCCTGGCTTAAGTGTGCTCACATCCTTTGGGTTAGGAAATGATTACAGTAACATCTAATAAAGCTAATGAAATACTACAATGTTTTGTTCAGAGATTTGGGAGCTGAGGCTGTCACAGTCAACTCAGCTCCAGTGATCTTGTCCTGATGATCACAATCCCAGTGCCAATCACTAAATAGGCAAGCAGCTTTTTAGAATCTAAAGGGGGACATGTACACCAAAGAAAGAAGCTTTGAACACAGATCCATCTTTCAGTGTTCTTAATTCACATGCTAACAGCCTCCCAGGAAATATTTCAGATTTATGTCTTGGCAGACAACAGTGCACGGAAGCAACAGGAGGAACTCAGGCCAGCATGTCTGAGTAAAGATTTAGAGGGTTCACGGAAAAACAGTAACATGACTCTTGAGCTTTAGCTATAAGCCATAAGATGCAATAAAAATAAGAGCTAAAATGTTAGAGCCATATTTTCCCATATGTATAGTTAATCTGAAAAACCAGAAGAACCTGAGCCTTTGAAAGATATATCCTTTTATATTTTAAAACCACCTTTGGAGGCCTGTGCCGAACAGTATAGCAGAACAGTTTATTCTAGAGTTCTTTCTTTCTTTCTTTAAAAGAAATACAAGGGTGGGGGAAAAAAACCAGCTTTGTTTGGCTCAACACAAGACAGCACACAGGGCGGCTAATGAACCAGCACCTGCCATCTGAGCTGTGGACTCTCCCTTTCTGGGGAAGGTCAGGGCCAGGGCAGTCACTGCTGAGCAGCAAAGAGATAGTTCTCCTGCCAGCCTTCAGCTCACCTTGCAGCACTTCCATAGGGAGGACAGTCCAGGCATTTTCCAGGTAGGAAATGTAAATATAGCGAGCTGTATTGCAGGCCAGGCCAATGTACAAAACCCTAGAAAAGAAAAGAAAAAAAAAAAAAAACGTTCAGGAAAATAAGTTGAGACACCAGTGTGAAACACAGATCATAAATATTACTTACAATTTCTCTATCCAAACCATTCATGATTAAACAGGCACGTTCCAAACTTAGGAACAGGAAAGCTTGAGGACAAACTTAACCACCAGTGTAGGAAGGAGACAGCCCCTACCATATCTGCTCACTGCCTTCCCCAAATGCTTAATGTAAAAGCCAGCATCACCCTTCCTGAAACTTCATTAGGGGCAGAACTGATGCTTTTTCAGATAGTCTGGGCACACGGCCAGCTATAATGACGTCGCTGGCTTCCTTCCAGGTGGATGTAGCCTAAATATGCCTGCGACTGTAGCCACTTCACAAAGATGGATGGGGAGGTTAAGGTGGATTGGGGGGGTATAAAAATGGGAACCTTAGCCTCGATTATATACGCAGGTTACCAAAGGGTTTCATCATTGAAAGCCAACCATGAATGATAAACAATAAATCAAAGGTTTTCTCAGCAGTTCAAATAATTCATGTTCATTATTTCTAAAACTCCGTATGATATCACAATCATACAAAACAGATAAATATACAGCAACCTCTAATATCACTACTACCTAACATGTAAGGACAAACCAAAGTAAGTAAAGACCAAAGCAGCACAGCAAGCTTAGACCAGCTGGTGGCTGCTTCTCAGCACACACTGGTGACAATAGGCATCTCCCTCCCCTCCTCCTCTCATTTTCCAATAATTTTCTTAACTTCAAGGCTCTTATTTTCTTTCCTTTATTTTCATGTGATAGATGGGGAGGGAGATAGAGAGAGAAGGAGGGCATGGGGGAGTGTGTCCAAGTACCCTTAGAATCCAGAAGAGAGGCCTGGACTTGTAGCTACAGGCTGTTGGAAGCTGTCTGATATGATTTCTGGGAACCAAACATGGGTCCTATATAAGCACAGGAAGTGCTCTCAATCACTGAGCATCTCTCCAGCCCCACTTTTCATGTTTTCTAAATCTAAGTGGACGAAGACCAGAAAGTGAAAGAAAGCCCACACGACAACCAGAGTGGCTGTCCTCATCTTGCTCAACTGTGTTTTTACATTTTTCTAAGCACTGTTCTTTTTCTTCCAACTTTGTTCTTGAGTCCCTGACTGGAAGTGATCCTAAATATGGAACAAAAGGATGGATAAAAGAAAAGGTGAAGGGTGGGAGGAACAGGGACACACGACTGGAAGGAACTTAGAAGGTCCTCAAGGAAGTTCCTTTGATGGAGCGCCTGAGTCATCTAGCTCTATGAATACTGTATTCTTCATACTTATATGGCTTGGTGAATAAAAGCATCTATTTCAAACTTGTTTGATGAAAATTATTTTTACTTAACTTGCTACTAGTCTTTCAGTTTCTCTCTGTTACAAAAATGACACAAAAATTAAAATGCAAACCCCACTATAGAAACACAAAACATATTACACAAGGCCTTTTGACTTCATTTTTAAGTTTGGAAGCACCCCCATGTATGGCCTCCACTTGGCCTAACTTAGAGATCAGGATTAGGGGCCATGAAGTAGATAGTTTAGGCTTCTGAGCCACAGTCTATTGCCATTCATCTCCACTGTGGTGGAGTGGTGGCAGCCACAAGTGATACACAACATTCCAGCGAGAAGCACCAGAATTTGAATTTCACAAAACATTATGCTTCTTGGGCATTGTTTTAGACCATTTTCAAAATGTAGCAATTATCCTTAGTTCATGGAATATATAAAAAATAGGAGGTAGGGCAGTTTGGCCCTTGAGCTACATACGACCTTGACTGCTGGCCTAACCTACTAATTGCTAACCTTAGCTATATCAAATTTCCTCTGATAGCTTCAAAACACAGATATCAAGATCCATCTCAATAAAGAGTACTCTGGCTAAAACCCAGGTGTGTGCTTTAGAAACTTCCAAGAATATTCTGATATTCAGTCAGGATGGAGAACCTCGGCTATGCTCATCACAAGCTGTCTCCAGGAATATCTCCCATAAGCCTATCATAAACAAATTGATAATCCACCTTTCTCTAAAGCTCTTGGCCTATGTCAAGCAGTCGAGATTAAAGGGTATGTTATATTGTGGCCTCCAGGTTCTCCACATGTGGAGACTCAGTGACTCAGTCACTAGAGTTACTTCTGTGTAGCTTCGGGGACTCTTAGGCTTTCACTGCAACCAACAAGCTGAATCCCTATGAATTTAATTTAACCTTTACTTCATCCCTGTGGTTCTAAAGTCATATCAGATATTCTGTTAGATCAAAAAAGGATCCCATAAAAATGAAGAAAAACAAGAATAGCCAGAACAAGCTACTCTAGTCTGTCTCTCCAAAACAGAATCTTCACATGTCAAATAGTCAAATAACATATCCACAAGTTTGTGAAGAAGTCACAACACAACTAATCACCCAAATAAATACTTGATGAGTGGTGGCATTACCATTATTTTAAAAAGTGTCCAAGGAATTTTTTATTCTCTGATAAAAACACTCTCCCAGGATTCCCAAGGGGGCCTGTTAGTTTTTGGATTTCAAATGCCCCCACAATCTACCTGTGGCAGTTTTGGTCCCCATTTGGTGGCACTTTTGGGAAGCAGAGGAGACTTTACAAGATCAGTGTAGGTCATGGCTAGTGGCATTGTCTTGGGAGGTTGTGGGGCTTGGCTGGTGGAGATGAGCTATTGGTGGTAGGTCCCTGAAGGTTGTACCTGGCCCTGCTTCCAGTCCCATTCTCTGATTCTCAGTTCACCAATATGGGAACGAGCTCCAGCATAAAGTTCTTGTCACATTGACAAGCCACTCCGTCCACCACACCTCCCCTGCCATGATGGACTATATAGCCCTGGAACTCTGAGTTCCTCCTTCCCTTAAGATGCTACTGTGAGGTATTTTGTCATAGCCTTGAGAAAACTAATACAGAAGACATGCACTTGAAGGGGATATTGGGGTTCTACCAGTTTCCTTGTTCTCTGCTTCTTGGCCACCATGAGGCTGCAAGTTTTCCTTTATCAAACATTCCACACCACAATGTCCTCCCTGACCACAAGCCCAAAGTGACAAGTCCAAGTGAACATGGAGTGAAATCATAGCCCAAACATGCCTTACCTCCTTTCAAATTTTTTCTTTAGTATTTTGTTACAGCAATAAAAAGCTGACTAACACTGAACCTTGTTGTGGGATATTTGATCACACTGTGAACCCCGAGATTGTATTATTTAAATAAAATCAACCATAGGTCAAGAGGCAGAGCAAGTAACTAGTTGACTAGAAGTAACCATAGAGAGAGCAGAAGTCCGGAGGTCCGAAAGAATGCACAGGAAGTAGAAGGGAGGGACATCTGGCTGGAGGAGTTTTTGTTTCAGATAGCACAAGAGTAAACCCTCTTTCTGAGATGGTGGTAGAGGAAGGTCAGCCAGCTGCTTCCTCTGTCACTCTGAGCTAGCAGGCTTTCACCCCAGCATCTGACTCCTGAGTCTTTATTGATAAAATAAAATGTTAGAGAGTTGGTTAAAACATTTGCCTTCGTATGTGGAGGTGGCAAAGGTGGAGGTGGGACACGAAGGCTTTCCCGGACTGCAGCTTTCCGCAGCAAGGCTGTGGCAGCTGCTGAGGTGCAGTCAACAACGAAGGCAGCAACTGGATCAGGTGCAGTCCCTGTGCTGCAAGTGCAAAACAATAGAAGCCGAGCATTTTTTTCCCTGACCAACCATTTTGGGGAACAATAGTTTCAAGAAATCCATAAAGGTTGAATTAGGAACAGAAAGAAAAGTGGTATCTGGGTTTATGAAAAGGCCTGGGCATAGACGTACTTACTGACCTGGCACTAAAGAGGTGTTTCAGCAGTCTAAGGACCCTCAAGTTTCTGAATGGGATTTGAACTATAATGTGTTCCCTTTTATAGAATGGACTGTGCCCAAAAGTAAAGGCCTAATTGCTAAGCCCCAGTACCCTGGATGGTGACTGCATTTGGTGATATAAACGTGGTCATATGGCTGTGTCCTAAACCAATGTGGCTGGTCTGGCATCTTCAGAAGAGGAGAGAAGAGAATGAAGGGACAAACACTGGAGGAGGACAAACCAAGGAGAGGCCCTCAGAAAAGCTAACCCTGTTGGCACTTTCATCTTGTGCTGTCAGCTTCGAGAACTGTGAAGAAATAATTGTGTTCTAAGCTGCCCTGTCTAAAGTATTTCATCAGGGCGTCTCTCACAAATGCATTCACTCAGATGAGATTACAGGTTTGTTGATGAAGAGGTTATTGTGTGTTTAACTACACCCTCTTCTGGACAGGCCCATTCTTAAAACTGAACATAGAGTTATGTTCAGAGCCTTAGACTACTCCTGGGTACCAGTGTCCTAGAATAATTCTCAGGGAGCTTAGATGGAAATCTGTGAACCACTGGTTTGATGATAGCAACAACCTTCACAACTTTCCTATTTCATAGCAGGAGTCAGTAATAAAAGCAGATGAGAAGTAGGCCATTTTGGAACAGTTGTTTGATGTAAATGAAGCTACCCACTAAGAGGTGTAAACGTAATGAAAAGCCAAATAATTTGTCAGATTATCTAGCCTAAACTGGAGCAAAATGTGAATGTCAAAGAAAAGTGTTTATGAGACTCTAGTTTCTTATACAACCACAGTTCATTGTTGTATATTCAGCAGTTTTGGAGTGATTGGCAGTCATGATAAAGCTAGTATTATTTTCAACAGGTAGTACTGAAGAAAGGGACACAATTGTGAAGACATTCAGGGTTCTTGGCACAGTGTATATGAGCAGTTTATTAGTATATATTTCCTAGGATACCACTGGGTACTCTATACACTGTTCTGGGTTCAAGGAGAATAAAAATAAACAGAAAATATTCTTTGCCTTCAAAAACCTGACAACCCAGTGGGAAGTTCAATGCCATAAATAAACAAGTTAAATAAAATACATTAAGGACATACACACAGGAGCCACAGGGACACT